CATCCAGTTCAAAGGTGCAACTACTTCACCAACTGCAGCCCCAGTTCCAACTCCAGGTGACTGCTCTGGGCAGACAGGACCACCAGGAAGACCATCTTGCCTATCCTCTTTCTGTTGGCAGAAAGACCACAGGGGCTGGCCCATCAATCTCATAGGCATTTCGGGCTGCTGTCAGGAGTCAGATGATGGGTCCACAACAGGAGCTGTTGTACTTTTATGCTTGCAGTTCCAAGCTAGGAAGCCTCTCCACTTGCTTTTCCAGCCCCTTTAGTGACGGGCAGATGTGAGCAATGAAAGAGTCACATGCTTGCGCAGCTACACTGCTGCTTTGCTGGTGTATCAATTGATATTCCATGTAGCATCTAAGGAGTATTCAACATCAGGGAGTTAGCTTATCAGCTTCATATGTCTCAAACAGATCCATTAACTACTAAAACCCTTTAACTTTTATTGGAAATAATGGGGATTTTCCTTAAGTGGTCCAAACTGAGCAGAGAGGTAGATCTGGAGGGCCCCTCTAGATCATTATCTATATTGAGTGTGCTCAGATACATGTTAGTGAACCTCATCTGTTCGTAAGAGGAAATTCCAACACCTACCAGTGTTGAAGAAAAAAAAAAAAGATGTTCAGAAATTTCTCTGTGTGCTATCACCTGAAATCCGAGGAAATTTAATTTTAATTTCTTCAGGACTGAGGTGACTGTTATAGCCTCGACTGTAGGGTTGCAGCAATAGCAGTCAGTTAACTGGGCAAAGTTAAAGACAGCAAAACCACTGAAGTTCGGATGTTTGCTTTCTCTTACTATTTCTGAACCTTTAGGGATTACTTTGAAAGATGAAGGCTAAATAGAAATTCAGCTAGGGGGAAAAAAACCCATTAAACCCAGTGTAGCCACTTGTTTTCAGGAGCCGATGTAACATTCCCAAAAACAACAATAAGGGTTAGATTACAAACTGACAACTTTAGATTTCTGAAAGTCTTATGGTCATACCAAAAGGGAAAGGAATAGGAGAGACAGGGAGATAGGTCCAGGGTTAGACGATATATTTAAGTGGCAAAAATATTTAAATAAACTGTAGATAACCTGGGTTGTGTTTTCATACATACTCACAGCCCTTGGTTAATTAACACCTCCATGTCTCGTCTTTTATTCGCCCTTATATACTAACATGAAATAAGAGAAATGGAAATGACAAAAACCTGACTATCTAATAAAACTACCACCTAAACTGTAAACATATAAGCTGAAGAAAAAGAAAGAGGACATAAAATAAGAATTAGTTATAAAAGATAAAAGCACATCATACATTCTTCCAACATAATATCAACTTTATAATAAAGTAGAATCATAATGTGGCTGCCCATATACAAGAAAAACAAAACAAACAGATGATGAAATATCAGGATTTCAAAAAGATACCTCTGATCTTTCAGTTATAAGAGTACTTCAAATGTTTAGAGATTTTTAGCTTGGCAAGAAAAGCCACCAGTGTAATATGCATAGAGTTTTTTTTTCAATGCTGCAGTTTACTAAAACTCTTTAGTGTTAATAAATAAGTTGACAGAGCTCAGATAATTTTATGACACTTCCCAGCTACAACAAAATATTGATTTCATAATACAGTCTATGGTTTAGAAAGAAAACCAGAAATACAGCATTTCTACAATGAAAAGTAAATCAATGTATTTCAAAATTATATTGACTTCTCCAAGGGCAATCAAATCATGAGTGAACAATAGGTAGCCTAGTGATTTAGTTTAATTGGCACTATTTCTTTTCAGTGTAACTAGGACCAGAATTTTGGCACCAGTCTTACAGAAAAATGTTAAGAGTAATTTTTACATATTCTTAAGTACAATATACTATTCTCTTTAGATTTTATATTTACAGCTGTTATTTAAAAATTCAGTGATCCCAGTGAGGATTCTGTCTTTAAAATCTGTAATACAGCTTCACAACATTCTACTCCATTTGACTAGGGACAGAAATATCTTTTTCCTTATTGAATAAAATGTTACTTCATGCTGGTCAAAAACCCACAAACCCTACTACAAAGACAACCTTCATGCATATATGCATATTAAGCAAACATTATTGATTGCTTCTTGTATGACTGTATGCTGATGCTATGTAATAGTTTCAGTAAAATGTTGTAAACTTCAGATAGACTTTATTTACATTTAGAAATATGCAAACTGTCAAGGAACTATAACTTTTTCCAAATAATTTGAAAGAGAAATATCTGGTCCTACACAGATGCTGACAAACAGAAGTATAAGTTTTCATTTACTGGCCAAGTGTTATAATTCTAATATCAAATGTAGCTGTTGTATGTCATCATACAAATGAGACAGAGGAATTCTCACAGAGAATAACAGGACCAGTCCTATGATAGATACTGAATATGAAGACAAACTCCTTAATTTGGGCTTTGTATTCAGATCACTGTGGAGGGAGCAGCTTGGAGGTGATCTGTTATTGATGAATTAATGTTTACCTTCATTATTTTCAAGAAAATAAGCTAGGCTTTGATGTAGTGGAAACTATTATGGGAAGTGGGGCTTGAGGTAATGGTAAAAACAGAACCAATAAAAATAGTAGGAGAGGAAGATTGACTGCAACATAGGTATTTGCTAAAAGAGAGACAAAACCATAACCTGTCACCAACAGCAGGTCTATTTCCTATTAGCTAATTGAGAGAAGAGTATTGATAAACATGAAAGAAATGTTATCTAAAAAGAGATGTACACAGGGACAAAAAAGCAGAATTTTTACTAATAAGCTCACAGGAGCATTAATTAAAAAAAAAAAACCCAAACCCACCTTTTTACAATGAGGTAAGAAAAGGGAAAAGCTCCTAATGAAAGTTACACATGCTCACAACAAGAGAGGAAAACCAAAAGCATTTGCTACTTTGTGGACTTGGCACAGCACCACAAGACTTGGGTGATGTACTGAACACACTTCAGAGAGATTAAATCAAGCTTTTCATGATCCAAATTTATTTCATTTTCTGCACGTCACCTCTCCCCTTAGTTCTGTGGCAACCCCTTCCTGGAATTACTGCACTATTGATGCACACCAGTTGAAAACAGAGGTAAAGAAGTTTTCTTTGTCAACAGCCTGTAGGCTCGCAAAATTGAACCTGTTCTTTTATCTGCCTATGTTCATTTAGCCCACCAAGCAGTCTTTATTAAAGCTGAGGCATCAGGCAGTCAAAGTTCATTAATACCATTTATATAATCTCTGCAGTTTCAATTAACTCAGCAAGACATTCTACTACATGATAACAGTCTCATTAATTCAATAAAATCCCATAACTATTAACAATATGGTCTATGTTAAACGGGGTGTCACCTAGTAGAAAATAATAGCTTTAACAGCTTGTGATGAAACTCAGGGCTTTTTTTTTTTAAATTTGATCTGGCTAAATATTCCATCCTTATGTAGAAAGGTATTATTTCTTGGTAAGGAATCAAGAGGATTTTAAATATGAGCAGAGGGTAATTAAGTCCTTTTAAGTCATATCAAAGAGTAAAATAATACTTCTTGTTCAATAAATGATAGACTAAATTAGCTGGAATGTGTTCTTCCATTTTCCCGTCATCCCTACTCTGGCCTCTATTCACTAGAAAGGGGAGGCTGAATACTGCTGAAGTGTTTTCTTTAGCAGTGCCCTTCAAGATAAGTTCACAGATCTCTTTTTTTCTTGTTCTCATGCAAGACTATTCCTTGCTCACAGTCTGTCAAACATGAGAAATAACCAGCTGATAGATTTCATATGTTTGATAACTCTGTATTTGATTTTTGATATAATCTGTCAGACAGTTCTTCAGAAGCAACTGTTCCTTCGACTCCTATGTGTCTTTTTTTCACAGAACTCCACTAATTTCTGGGATTGAAGAAAGGGTGGTCACAGGCCATACCTGAAAGCATACAGTCTCTTCTAAAAATCTTCACATTTACTAAACCTCTGTATTTTTGTCATGAAAAATTTTCTGTCTACTTAAAAGTTTGCTGCTTTACAGTTTATCCTATCCTTTGTGCATGCATACAGAATATCCCTCAGTTTGTCAGTCCCTACTCTTCCTACAATTAATTGCCAGAAGAAACAAATATATTTATGTTGATAATCTGCATATTGATCTTGCTATATTAATTTAATTTAATATGAAGCTTATATTCTCTTCAAAAACTTCAGAACAAATGTTACATTAATTTAGCCTGCATTCCATATGGATGCATAGTTAGTGAAGCTTTAAGGCTTTCTTTACTCTTTTATCAAAAACGGTTGGAGCAGGTTCTCCTTTAGGTAACACTGTAAAAGCGGTATTCGTAGCACGCTTATCTTTCAGTCAAGAGGCCTTTGTCAGCTGCATTGTATTGGGATGCTACAGGGTTAGACAAAGGATCTATTTGCTAACATACAGCATGGCTTTCGCGCTTTGAAGAACCTAAAACACTGCATAAAACTTAAAATAGTAAACTGGGCCTAAATTTCAGAAGTCACTATTTATGTTTTTTGATTATTCAGTACCATTTTTAATCCTGTTGCATGCTTTCTTTCTTTACTGAAGCAGAGAAAGCCTTTTTTTTTTTTTCCTTTCTTAACCAACATTGAAGAAAAAGATGTTTGTTTATAAAGAATTTTGAAGTTAGCAACCTTAAAGAAAACAATCTGAGGTACTGTATTATGAGGAAAATGCATATGTTATTCAATGAGCTTACTTTTCTTACTATCCAGCTGACAACCAGCTCTTTGATTACGTTAGTATTATGATACAACTTCAGATACAACAGAACTACATTCTTGTCAAACTGTATAGAAAATGTTGAGTCAATGAATGCCACCTGTACAGTATTTTCATTACCTGTTTATAAAGCAGCTGCTCATTTTCTCTGGCGTAGCAGAACAGAACATCTGTAAGAATTTTCCTCACATTCTCTTGCTGGAAATACTGCATTTCAGGAAAGCTGAAAATGAAGAAATACAGCAAAAATAAACAACATAGCGCACAGAATCTGTCACTGGTCTTCTAGAAATGGTTTTAGGTAAGACAGCACCTCCCTCGTTTGTTTTCCCACCACTCTCTGAATTGTAGGTGCTGCTAGAGTAAGAATACTTCTAAACACTTGTTACATTTGTTTTGCAACCAAAATTCTGAACCATGTTCTTTAATACATATCAGTCAGCTACATAGATATGACGATATCACCAGTTATATTTAAATAAGTAATCCCTTTTAATATTATGAAAACTAGAGATCTGCAAGAATGAAATACAATGGCAGATTGTTTTAATTGTCAACTTCTTACAAACAGCCAATCCACTGAAAATGAATGATTTGGAGAATCTAATCAAAATAAAATGATGTACCATACAAGTATGTTCCTGCCTAAAGAATCAGGTTACTTTGCTCCTCCATGTCATGAAAACAAGTTGAATTGAAGCACAATGAAAGGAGACAGAATGAGAGGCAATGGCTGAAGCAAAGATCTACCCTCTGCTCCTTGCACTCAGACTCTTACTGCCAAACCTAGCAGCCCAGAAGATCATTCTGGTCCCAGGTGGCACAGCATCCCAATAGTAACTTAACTCCAGGACTGTGCTCCACTGATAGTCAGTCCTTTACCAATCAATTTAAAACTTGCTAGGAACACTTAGAAAAGGAGCCCGATTAAAAAATCCAGGCAGACACTTCTTCCATCAAACAAAGTCAGTTAAAACCAAAACTGTTGCAAACAGTTATCTTTGATTAATTTGATTCAGGTACTGGAAAAAATAAGCACCGAAGATCAAATCTCCATAGATAAAAAACATATTTTTTATCATATGCTCCTGTTTTCTTAATCTGTGTTAGGTTGGCAGCTGTCACTGGATCATCAGTCTGCCCTGCAGTTTCATGAATAGTGCTTAGCCCTGCTCTTCATTTTTCTCAAGATAAAAGTTGGGCAAGGGAAGAGTACAAGAGCTACAATATGTTAAGGAAGTTTGTAAAATTTCCAGTTCAAAACTGGAATAAAATGGAAAAAAGAAGAGTATGTCAGAAGTATATACACAAGGGTTCAATACTTCATGAACATTTGAAAAATGATTAGCATTTTAATGATAAAATTATTAAAATATCTCATAATTGACAGGATTTGAGTATCCTAAGCTGCAATACATGTTACTGGCATCTTTTGTGATGCAACATAATTAGGCATTTTAGTGTCTTTAGTAGCTGTCTCAAACAAACTTTACAATTAAGACATCATTTGATACACTGTCAGGGAAAATATCCTTTAAGTGAAATAGAATACATGGATCAAGTGAGAGAATAAGGGAAAAAGCGTTCTGGGAAAATCCTGTTATCTACTTATAATCCAGGAAAATGTAAATATTTACAATCTCTAAGAATTCTGAAGCAACTCTCACCTGCGCATCCTGCTCCTTCACTGACAGACGTAGAAAATAAAGTGGTTATGCAGGACGTACTTTACTGAATAAGTGCACAAACAAAAGTGTTTTCATGCTTACTGAAGAAATAACTGGATGGCAAAAATTGTTTCATAAAGTAACTGTCCTAAACCACATTCAGCTATATAGATCAATAACAAATAAAACAAGAAAAAATCTGGAAAGGTAGAATACTGAAGAGAAAGGAAAAGGTAAAGTTAGAAACTAACAGAATAGTACTTCTGTTTTCAGGAAGAAAACAGAAGACAACAACGGCAGGCCTCAGGCTACATTGCTGAAATAAAGGCTATAGTATTGTCAGATTTAAAATGAAATCACATGGATTGCAGATAAGGTTTCTTCAAGCCAATTTTGTTTTTCCTGCTTCTCAAGTCTGAGCTACAATGCTAAACTTTAGACCAGTTATATTAAGGCTGTTGTAAAGCCTGTTACAGCGAAACAATATAGGGAATTATAATGAATTACTTCAGATAAAACTATTAGTGTTAATAATTACTGTGGTCATCTCACAGAGGTGATGACAGGTAAGCACAGAAACATAACTCATTAAGGCTAGAAAGGTGCTTTGAAATCCTTGGACGAAGGACCTAAATCGAGAGCCAAGGCAGAGGAGACACCATGGCTTGAGCAAAGCAATGCTAAGTCCTGAGAAAGGTGTTGGGATGAGGGTGTAACATTTTCCTGGCACCTGGTGGGGGTAACGGTAGACCAACATTTGGAAACTTGTGTGCACTTATACTAATCATATTACTGTAAAAGAAGGACACAGCCGAGACCAAAAGTGCATTAGAGCAGATGGTAATCGACATAATTTAGGGGTTTGAAGAGATTATTTCTGAAGGACTGTTATTCAGGCCTGCCCTATGAAGTTTAGGAAGAGAAGACTAACAAAGAAAACTCAAAAATACACAGAGATATCTGTGAGGATCTAGTAATACCAGAGATTGTGACAGAAAGGATAATAACGAACTCAGGGATAAGCTGGCTGAAGTATTAATTACAGTAAATGTAAATACAAGAGATCCTGAGGGAACTATCAGTTCAGGATGGATTTTTATGGAGAATGTCATTTTATGATTAAAGCCCTGTTTTAGAAATACAGAATCGTCAAACCAGGCAAGGTAAGAATACATTTCATGAGCACTAGAGTATTATATTTAATTACATTTCTGAGAAAGACTGCATAAGGACATGGGAATTTTGCTAGACTGTTTTACCACAACTGCTACAATTAAACAACAGCACATTCAAGTTCCTGCTTTCTGAAAGTGAAGACGAGTGCACGTTAGTTATCGTTTTTTAAAAGACTCTTTTAGGCCAGTTAGGGGCCCTACACCAGAGTCCAACAGACTTTGACGCAGAAGAAACCTAGGCTGGCTGGCAACCAAATAAAAGGATGCACAAGTACTTTATGAAACAAATACCATGGCAGACAGAAATGAGGCTCTTAACCACAGCCACGGAGTGACCATATTTTCTTTCATGAGCACATGCCATCCCCTGTCACTCCCCAACCCTGTTACTCAGCTGGAATGGGGAAAGCTACTAAACCAGAAAAAATGGAAGATGCTCTTGCAAACTGCAAAGATTTGGTAAAGAGTAATAGTAACTCACTTCCAGCAGTCCCTCCTCTTACACAGAAACTAGATTTTGTCTCCTGTGTTCAAACTTAACGAATTGCTGTTTCTTCCCATCTCTTCTATGTGCTTAGGAAAGATGTAGCTGCCCTAGTGGCTTCTCCACTACCTTTTTTATGGGTGGTTTGGGTTTTTTTTGTTCTTTGGGAGATCCGGAGTTTGAAACAGCAGCACTCACCACTACTCATCTTCACGGAGCTTGCACTGTCCTAAACTGTGATTGTTACTCTCGAAGCAGAAAGTAGGTAGACTAATATATAAAAATACTACTACAAATAATGCTAGACATTATTTTGTATAAATACATAAATGGAAATGTCTTTAATCAGTATTACTGATATTAGTGACTATTACTCCCTCTGCCATTTGCCAGAGCGAGAGCCTGGACTTTGTGTGTGTATATATATATATTTTTTTTTTTTTTTTTTTAAATAACAGTCTTACATCCAACATAACCTCAATACAACTTTTCATTCTCCAATTATGGTTTAGCTACGTATATATTTTAATCTTAGAACATCCTGAACTGTTTCCTTTAACAAACAAAAAAATACCATCTGTGAGAATGCACATGAAAGCATACTCAGATTTTAATTATACATCTCATGGCAAAATGCATTCAAGAATGGGTCTAGGGACAGACATATAAAATACTCCAAAACCAGAGAGCAATGATTTCTTCTGCATGACTTCGTTTCTGTAAATGAAAATGTGTGAGCTTGGGATTTGCAGAATCTACGACTACCACCCCTTTTTTCAAGGTATAAGGAAAAATATTTGCAATACAGTAAAATTTCACATGGTAGCAAACCAGTAATTGAATTTAATTAGATTTACACATCAGTCAATGCTTCCACTCTGGGAAGAAATGTTTTCAGGAACTGAGTGTTCTAACTCAAACAAGTTCCTGAAATGAAACAGGAATGACCTGAGGGCCAAGAAGATGAAAATCACAGTAATATTAGGACAATTTTTAAAAGGCATATGTGACAACACTAGATAAATAAAAATAGAAATGCTTCACTTCTCTAGATGAGTGACATTTCCCCTACTAATTACAAACTGCTTTTTTTATTATTGATTGAATAAGTGTTAAGAATTAAATAAAGTCATCTGTTCAATCTTTTATTATGATCATAATTTAGTTGCAAGACCTTTCAATTTCTCTTACCTCCTTTTTGCTTCATGTGGAAAACTCTACTTTAAATTTCACATAGTAATACATTTCCTAATATCTTAATTTAGAAGAGCTTTTCTTCAATGATACCAATAAATCTCCAGGGTTTAATGTTTAACTCGATTTTCTCATTTTTCACTCAAAGAAAGCTGTATTTTTATACATTTAATGTATGTTTCTACACATTCATGTACCACAATCCTGACATTTACACTAACCGAAGTAAAGAAAACACCATATAATGTATACCACATAAAAAAGCAGAATCTAAATTTATATATAGAAATTTCCTTAAAGATCTACATACGTTCTTGTCACATCTTGTTCAATCATTGCTCGAAGCTCTTTATCCTGGAAAAATTTATTCCAAAGACTCTGAAATAAGGAAAAATAATTGTATGAAGCAGAGACTTCTACTAATACTTAAGACTTATATACTGCATTAGCAAAGTACTGTACAAATATTAACTAATTAATCCTCAACATTTCTGGCAGATAGGTATATCAATATTTTATAGGTGAAAAAGAATGTTGGTGACCAGCCCAACGTATCTGAGAAATTCAGTTTAGATCAGAGATGAAAACATTCAAGTCCCTGGATCCTTCTTCCAGGCTCACTCCATTTGCTCACTGGATGGCTGCAGGTCTGTGAGTTACTTGTAAAGGGTCTATGAAGAATATTTAGGAAGGTAGAGTAAATTCAAACTTATCAGAACCAGCAGCAAAACTGAAAAAAAAAATTCAGTATTTCAGTCACAGAAAAAGGTCTCTATCACTGTACTGTACTACATTTGTCCTATTCATGTACGGACTCCAATTGGAAGCTGCTATAATTTCCATAGTAAGAAATTACTTGAATTTTGAAGTTACCTAGTTTGTCTTAGTGGAGGCAGAATCGAATAAGGAATGTATGATGATCAAATTTGAAAATGGCATCATTCTAATGGTACATATACACAGTGCAGATCAAGACTTGCTATTCTAAAAAAGTTCTGATAGGGAAACCCAAGGTATGTAAGCCTCACTGTCAACATTAAAAAAAAAAAAAAAAAAAAAAAAAAAAAGGAGTTTGAACTAGGTTTAGCTTCTTCTATATCTGTGCTTATGAACATTTCAATTTTCTTTGGTTTCCATGCCTTGTTTACCAATATTTTGCAAAACCTAACCTGAAATAAGTCAGCAAATGTTGTTTGTATGCTCCAGAAAAAGTATTGTAAAGCCTATTCTTTATTGTAAAGGGATGGTAGCTTGGACATATTGATCAAAATACAGAGAGAACAAAATCTATCGCAGTCTTTCCATACAGATTAGTTTTCAGATAGCAGCAGCACCAGTGAATGAAATACTGTACAAAGAGAGTGGCTACAAGCCTTCCAGAATTTCTTGCTCCCCAGTAAACAATTCATTGCCATGGTGGCTTATGCTCCACAGAAAGAAAGAGAACACAAATTAATGTTATCTAGCAGAAGGAAGGTAAAATAACAAAAAAGGAAGTGTTAATTAGCTTCTCTATTTGTGTTACAAGTATGAAAAAAACCCCAACCTTAAAAAGTACGTATATCCTTGACAATGTCCTATGTAAAACTAGTACCTTTCTAACCTGCAGCTCCTTTTATGCAGCTAGATCACATTTTAAAACACCCCTGTCCCTGCTCCCACCCTGGTCCATCAGAGCAAAGGACGAAGGAAACAGAATCTTCATTGTGAAAAGGAAGAAAAACCCAGGACACTGAAAGAGTAAAACAGTAAGTCACTGCAGAGGTACCGAGGCCTTTGCTCTTCATTCCTATGCCTGGTTTGACCCGTGGCTTTGTTTTATAGATTAAATCCCTGCCACATACTCTGACATGTAAACCTTTGTCTTCTATCTCCTAAAGACATCATAAGCAGAAAGAAGGTTGTGCTGCTGTGTATTATCACAAACTACAGCAGAAACACTTTAAATCTTTTACATTTGATACAACTTTGTGTCCAGCTGGATGCAAGAGTGGTTTGATGGCACGCACAGTCATACCGTCATACAGCCACCAAAGTCATATAGCCACCAACGTGCCTAAAATCAATACTTCCATGTTTCCACAAGCAAACCCATTTCTCCTTCTATGTTAAATATGAAGCAGAGTAGAACACTAAATACAAACAAAACATGGGCTTCCATTTTTGTGAACAAAATGGAAACACAAGCAGTATCGGCAAAGATATCTGTGACAGCCTTGCCAGGTGTAAATCTCTTAAATGCAGCCAAAGAATTTATTTTCCTGGTATTAAGTTATTTTGAAAATGTGATAAAAAAAGAATTTTCAGAAATGGTAATATAATTAATGGAGAAACTTAAAGATATGTCTTGTAAAATAGCTAAGATCTTTTCAGGTAAAATAAAGTGTAGCGTAAAAAAAAAAAAAAAAAGCCCCAAATTAAGCTCCCAAATCTACATGTAAACCCTCATCAAAGTGTCATGACTTTGAAAATACCAAGCTACTAGAAGGTCCCATTAATTTCAGTGAGAGTTGGATGCTCTGCACTTAATCACAGTCAGGCCAAATACTTTTACCACATTTTCAGTATTTCTTTAAAATTTGGATCTGTCATTTTGCAGCTGGCTGCCTTCTGATTAGACAAGAAACTTTTGCTTCTTTTAACTGTATAAAGAAAAAGAATTAAAAACGCTGGAGTAAATGCATATCTTGCAGCCTGGTGCTTTAAACATTAACTCAGTATGTATACAACTCAGACGTATAACAAGTCTATTTTTGCTGGAGAAGAACTTCCAAGGCTGAGCAGTCTTCCAGAGGAAGGCTTTTCAGTATTTGCTGTTAATAGCATTCTCTTCATATTGACTATTTAAACACTCCTCCAGTTAGAGCCATTTTGCATATAAAATGAAAACAGCAATAAAAAAGCCTATCAGTCAAAGAAAGGATATGCTGTGAACCTGGACTTACAGTCCAGCACTGATTTTTTGTTCATCACAGCCTTCCCTGTGATAAGCCCTGAAAAATCAGAATATTAACTTAGAAATTAACATTTCTGGTTGTTCAGCAGAGCCTGTGAATCACTGTTAACACAAATCAGTTTGGAAATTTAGAAGGGAGATTTTAGCACCTGCCGTTTTTCCTTCTTCAGCAAGAATTCACTTGTGTCAGGATGATGATGATGAGAATTTTAGTAGCACATATGTTGATAGAATCAAGGGTCAACTTACCCCCTCGTCCTGAGAGAGTGGGTTGTTGATTATCAGATCTTGCTGTCCTGCTTTCCGAGGGTTTGTAATGTGCTGGGTAAAAACAGAAAAAAGTCAAATCCTCTTCTGTTATATTTTAAGTGTCAATACCTATGTCAGTGCGTGAGAGTAGAGTATTTTGTACCAACTTACAATTTCTTTGATCTTACTATAAGAAGTTCTTGAGTCTGACGTGGTTTTAATCCATTGACTTCTGTCTTGGGGTAGAACCTCCAGAAATAACTACCAACAAAACAAAACAAATCCATTAAGTTTAATCGATTTAACATAGCTTTTCATATAAATCCTACCAGACAGCATAAGCCACCTCAGAAACGAGGAGCAAGTACTCTACACTTAAGCAGAAGAAAGCGAAGACCTATAAAATACTCTTGGCTTTAGTACTTTCCAGTCAATAAACAAGAGGCTAGAAACAATAACAGTTCTAAGGTAGGATATAAAGCATTAAAAAAACCTGAAGCCACAAACTCAAGCTTTGTAAACTGTCACAACTTCCATCAAGCTGATCGAGACTTCCATGGCAGAAACACAATGCAAAGAGATGAAAATAAATATACAAAACTTAAAGCTATTTACACAACACTGATGAGCTAATGCAACATGCTTAAAACCAAAAATGAAAGCAGAGCAGAAACTAAGCACTCAGAGCTATACTCTACCTAAGGAATGTGGAAAGGGAAAATCTTAGTCTACAGAAAAGTAACATGTTCTAGAATTCTGAAAGACAGTTAAAAGAGCCGATTTTGCAAAAAGTCCTTGAGAATGCCTACATCTCAGATCTTTCACATTTCTGTTTAAAAAGGATTCGAAAGAAACATTTATGGGAAAATACTATTTAACTGCATATAAAATAAGCGGGAAAAAAGAGTATTTTCTTGCTTTTTAAATATTTTTATTTATGCAGCGTTATGAAACATTTGTAAATGTCAGTAAATACTGACAAACAAAAAACATTCCCAAATTATTAAAAATGCTGAAATATTTCAGAAGTTAACAAAAATATTGATAATATTTTTTAAATGGGCAGTCTAAAATAGAGACCTAACCCATATCAGACATGCAAATAAAAGCAGCCTTATTTCTAAAATAGAAGCACTCCTTGATTTAATTAGTGGACAGTGAGGGACTTCATGCTTTTATTAGTTCAGGGTTTTGAGTTATGGCCTCCTAATTTAGACACTCAAGAAACAGCAGACTGATAAAACAATGCTGGTGGCATATATTCATCTGGCTTCCTGAAGAAAGTATTTTCATTAACTTTAAATTTGTTCAATGCTACCTACATTTCAAATTCCAAATTTCAATTTTCAAATTTCTTTCATTCATATAGAAAGAGTATTTTAATTTTATTTTTATAGGACTTTGTGCCAAAGTGAAGCTTGAGAAATTCCAAGTGAGGTAATTTAAATTATCAGTGTTAACACACAGCATCTCTACTAGGGAAAATCTTCTCTACTATTAGAGTTAGTGCAGAACAGAAGACCTGATGCCAGTGCAACAAAATTCTTTTGGACTTCATATAGCATCTCAGTATTACTTTGCTTTCTTTCTCTCTTCCTTCCCCCACAACTTTTAAAAAATACAGGACGAGACCTCTGAGGACCTGTTGTGTTTTAAGATTGGAAGACCTGTCTTCCCTCGCTATCCGGTCTTTACAAGATGGATTGGTCCTCATCATCTCAATTGACTGGGAAAGGCTGCTAGCAGAGGCATCAGACTGACTTTAAAGGAGTCCCAAGTTCCACAGAACATAAATTGTGAGACAAACTTCCTTTTTATTTCCAGTGCATGACTTCACTGCATGGAGACTGAGAAGAGAAATGGCTGTGTGGCACTCAATTCTAAACACACCACCCAGCACAAAGAGATTCTTTCCTAGGAATCTTCTGCTATCACCCACAATTCAGCTTTAAGGCAACTCGGTATGATTAGCAAATGTCCTATGAATTATAAAAATGAGTAGGAAAACATTGGGATGAAGTCTCTTGGAAAATTCATGATTCTTTGCATCAATAATCTTCCAGCGCATCAGGTAATGTGTTGATATATTGCAACCACAAACTGTAAATAAATATTTTCTCTTCTTACCTTCCAGCAAACACTACGGAACCTGCTGCTTCTCAGCTGCCCATTAATCCCCTTCAGCCGTATAGTTGCCAAGTAATTGTTGTTTACAAATAGTTCTTCCCATTCTTTACTGCATGCAAAAGCAAAAGGAATGAACATTTAAACAAAAAAAAAAGTCTTAGCTGATTTAAGGACTATATGACACTACACAATTTTGGATAAGCAGAGGAAAAGAACTTTTTAAAATGTATATATTTAGTTGTGTACCATTTCTAAACGCATGGCTGTCTTTTTGGACACATTTCTTCTTTGGATTTAATGAATATGTAGATCGCTATAATTATGCCAGCTACTGAAATTCATAATGTCTATGGAGGCTATTCCATTTCCTCTAAAATGTTGGTACTGCAGTTCAGTGAATAAACAAGAAAAATGAATATTAATATAAGCACATTCATGTTTCAGCTGTAGACAAAGAAGTACCTATTCCAAAAATATGCAACAGAAAAGTATACTGTTGACTGTATTAGCTCCTCACATGACATATTTGCTTAAATGAACCTTCTCTTCTTCTTAATGTCAAGCTGGGCAGTTAAGCATAATAGAAGATGACTTTCTTTAACATTTAGTGCTATTTACTATTGAAATCACTCCTACTTCTTTCTACATGATCAGTTTTAAAATTTTAACAGGTGCTAGCAAATTTAAAAAAACATCAAAAAATTAAAAAGCCTCACTGTATAAACTGTTACAGGCAAGCTTGAGTACCTTGCAGTACCTATGGCTGACTAGATAAACAACCTAAATATGCCTCCCAGGCATGCAGGCACCAGGGGCCTAACACCTGTGCCTCATTAATATACAAGTAAATCTGCTCTACTGGGAAACAATTGGAAATTAATTGTCCCAAACCATCTACTGAGTTTGAATAAAAGAATTAAACCTATATTTCCTGCACCTTCTACTGAAACGAATCTCAAGAACAGGATAAGCCATTTGATGGTCTTAGTAGCCCAAGACTTGCTCACAGACCTGCAACCACTCCAAAATCCAAAGGGTAATTTCAATGTAAAGAGCTGGGTTATGTGCTAGGAAATGTGTTTCAGATTTATTTTCAATGCATGTTCTTAAGGTGAACATCTCCCTCTCCCACTGTCACATGGGAGACTATTACTTCTCCCTGGGAGACCAAATGAAACCAGAAAGAGGGAAACTACTATTGTGACTGCAGGGTAAGATCTCAGGTGACCTTCCTTCGCTAAAGCGGGTCACAGAGTGGGGTTACACTAAATACCAAGAAACTCTGGTTTTGCAAACTGCCCTAAATATAGGCAAGCTAGAATTAGATAGTTTTCAGCCTTTTAAGCTGAGTTGTGGAGGTGACTTTTTTTTAAAACCTTTTTTAGATAAAACTTGTTCAGTTTCAGAACAGAATTATATGACACAGTTGCTGGGAATAGTTGGGGAACGGACTCAGCAAACTAGGCAATTATGGTTCTGTTCCTCTGAGACAGGAATGAACTTACAATCCAGAAGCATTGTGTTTGTGAACGCACCACCTTTCAGCTAGGACTGTTTTCTAAAAAAAATGGGTGTTTACTTCTGGGCCTTGATATTAACTACTTTGAAAAGCGAAGGCACTCTAGACAAGGACAAAGACAACTCAAGCAGCATTAGCTTGCAGGCGTTAGGGCTGCCTTCAGCTTCTGCCAACTGCCAGTATTCCCAAGTGACCAAAATAGCAGCAAGTAACTCCAATGGTGTGGGGCAGCTTCCTACCTTCTTGCCACATTCCTCATTTTCCAAGTCAGAAAGACTATCTGGTCATTTCACTGGCTCCCCATCTCCCATATATCCTCACCTTCTGCAGTGAGCTGCCTACGATTGTTTACCATGATTCTCTCTCCTTTAAATACAACGTATGGCATATAGCAGACGCAGCTTGAGAAAAATCTGGCCCTTTCTTTCACAGTCATTTATACTTCAGCAACTACAGTATGTTATGCCTATCTAAGTAACCTTTCTTTTTCTATCATGTATAATATTCTTCATTTGCCACTGTAAATTTTGTGGCATCGTTGGTCATTGTAACCACTGCCAAGCTGCCTCCCTAAGGTAGCAATGCTTCTGGAGTGACACATCCCTCTGCACACACAACAGGTCAGGCTCTGAAGCTATTCACATTGTTCTGCAAGTGGGTAACATTCCCACAACGTCTTTTAAAATGCTGGTATGCCGGCTGAGTTAGCAAAAGGTTTCAACCAGTGTAACTGTGTATAGAAAGAACAGAGAGGAAAGAAACTCTTCAGGTTATTTTTTTTTTCACCAACTGCTGGGAGTGATTGCTACACAGTAAGAAAGTAATTTTAACACTTCTTAAATTCTATTAGTGCAGATACTATGCTTTGTCTTTTTTTTTTTTTTTAATTTGTAATGCAATTCCAAACACGTTTTGAACAAAATTACATTTAAAACAGCCAAAAGAAATTTGGCAAGATCATATCCCCTCCACATCCCCCCTGGCTGCTGGGATCACTAAAAAGAAAAGTTACGAGCAACTGAAAAAAGAAGACTTGGAAGCTGAAATCTGCTTCAGTTTTAGTAGAGCTGAATGATATCTAAAATCCTTTCTGAACAGCATTCACTAATTCATTTCTCAAATATTTTGAATGAAAACTAATAAATTAAGCCTTACAATTCTAGGGACTGTTTCAGTAATGCTAACAGTGTGTAATATCAACAAGCTATCAATTCTAACAGAATAATTTTTAAAATGATATAGCCCTATTCTGTAATCTAGTATCTATGAGCCTTGTTAACCCGGGCTTGCAGAAAACGCATCGGTCAAAGTGAGAGAGCAATGATGACTGGAACTCAAGTCTATCACATCCCATTTGCTTCACTGAAGTGAAAGACTTCAAAAGCCAATTGGAACCACTTATACAATGAATAAGCACATGCAATTGTTTTCAATCAAACTAGAAAATTCACTGCATAATCATGTGTTAATACCAGCTTTAGGTTGTACAACAGAAATAAAGGCAAATGCCAATGTTAATGTTTTCTGGTTATTTTGTACATATTTTTCATTTCATATTCTTATTTAAATAGCCTGTCGAATATACTATCATACATATTGTAAGGTATTCATAATATAAGGCCTGCACGAAGAAAAAGTAATTGGATTAATGTTTCTTTAAGAAACTTAATTTCACATGCTGTAGCTATGCAGTAACCGTCCAATGTAAAATATTTATTGGCATGAATTGGGGACAGTTGCACTACTTAGAAGTGGGAAAAGTGCTCAATATGTACGAATGAAAAAGCAAGCAAATCAGCGGAAAGGATGAAGGTTGCAGATTCATTCTGCAAGGTTTGTTCTTAGTTCTCATCTGTTCCTTTCCATCTTTTGAAACATACATTTATGTCATAACTAAAGAGTTAGAATCTGTCTGCAAAAGAATTTTATACTGGGGTCCAGTCTAATACACACACTTTCTTGCTTATAAGGAATGAGGTTGATCTCCTAGCAAACCATACACAGGCATATTTAGTCTTCTCTTTCTTTCCAACAGGATGTGTTTTGTGATCTGATGCTTGTTAAGACAATTACGAATACTAAATTTTGAGAGCTAAAAGTCTAAAGAATTGGTAGAGAAATGTCTATCTCTGACAACACACAGGGAAGTGAGCACGATGAGCAGGACTTGACATCATAAAGTCTATGTAAAATTCTACATGCACTTAAACACCATTTTTGAAAAGGTATTTAAGTCCCTGAGGTCTAGCATCTTAGTAAAAGACACTGGAATGCCACTATGCTATAGAGGAACAAGCAATTGTAAACTCTTTAAGAATGAGTGACAACAACAATGTAACAAGGACCCTGGAAAATATTTCTGTAATTCAAATAGTAGTTCCCAAAGTTTCACTGAGGTAACACTGAGCTGTGGTAGTGCTGGGGAGAGGTAACGAAGACTTTCTTCCACTGATAGCCACTAGTGGAACATCAGTGGAACATCAGTGGAATATCAATGCACTGAGCACAGATATGCAGAAGAATCCAACTGTACCAGTCTCTGGCTCTGCAGCTAAATTTCTATCTGCAGCATAATGGCAAAACCAATGCACTGAGCACAGATATGCAGAAGAATCCTTCCACTGATAGCCACTAGTGGAACATCAGTGGAACATCAGTGGAATATCAATGCACTGAGCACAGATATGCAGAAGAATCCAACTGTACCCACCCAAGCTCATCACAGAATAAATGCTCTGTTCAGAAGAGGAAGAAATACAGTTGAGGAAGGGTGGTACAGCACAGAGAGTAATCACGGCTAGTTAACTTCTGCATTTACCTACTTACAAGATAAAGCTGCTGATGTACACAAATACAGATCCTTCCCAACTTTAAAGCTAGTGTAAGAAGCATTTTTGTACTACGACATTCAGACAACATCAAACTCTGTGGAAGACACTAAAACCCATAGAAATGTAAAAACGTGAATAGCCACATCAAACTACAACCTCTGTCACTGAAAAAGGGCAAAGATTCAGTTCTGGGACTGCAGGGGCTCAGACCTACCAGGTAAATATTACTGCCCATAATCATTTCACTTTCAGTTGAAACTGCGGGTAACAAAGAAACCAGTATCTATCATTTCATTAGACAGTGGGTATAGTGATTTTATCTCATGCATTTTTAAAGTATTTTATGCCAAGTTTTGAAATCCCTTTTTTTGTGTCCATGATGAAACAAGACCAATTCAATATTTACAACAACATTTCAGTAACAAGGAGTATTTCTCAGTTCATACTGCAATACTATTGGAAGGTGTGAACATTTGCATACATATTTGAGATTTCAATCTAAATCTCGAGGTTATTCTACCCTCTAGACCAATATTGAAGGATAAAATGGATAGTCTCATAGAGATCCAAAGAAAACTCTTGAGCAGTCCTGCTAGTATTGGCAAAATCATCTACAACAAAATAGTGTGCAGGCTCCCAGAAAAGCCAATTTGACTTTTTCATATAGGTTTTTCTTAATCTTCAGAATGTGCTTTTTAAAATGTTGAGACCCAAAATCAGCTCCCCAGAGGCACCCAATGAAGCAACAGGCTACTGAAC